CGGAGAGATTGACTCTGTGCAGGGCTGATCTTAACGATTACGAGAGTTTGCGGGAAGCCATCGACGGTTGCAATGGCGTTTTCCACACTGCCTCTCCAGTTACTGATGATCCGGTGAGTCCATTTACTTTGTGATACAAATTCTTGTGTGATAGCTGGTATAGCATGCATATCATTGAAAAAGAATTACTGCTATAACAATTTTAAGGCAAACGAGTGCGAAAATGAAGATAAAAGAAAAAACAAAATCTGGTGAGAAACCTTAGATTTGAGCATTGTAGTTTTCAGATGAAGTGTTCTACAAGATTGATCTTAGTTATTATTATTTAATTATTATGCACATTAAATGAGAAAGAACCTTTTTACTATTTTTTTTCCAAAACATTGGTAGTATGCTTGCAATTTACATTATAGTCCAACGAACACAGCTGCAGAAAATGACCTTGCAGAAAATTTGGACAAACTAAACATTAAATTTATTTATTTATTTATTTTTTCCCGATATGTTTCTTCCATTGATTTGATCATTAGTGAGTATATCTTACAAATATACTAATTAGTAATTAGCTCCCGATATGTTTCAGTAGAATCTTTGAAACTTAATTACCCAGTGTTTGAACAATGTAGTGAGTTGTGTATTGATTTGAAGGAGCAAATGGTGGAGCCAGCGGTGATCGGGACCAAGTATGTGATCCGTGCGGCTGCAGAAGCCAAAGTCCACCGTGTGGTGTTCACCTCGTCGATTGGTGCGGTTTATATGGATCCAAACAGAGACCCTGAGAAAGTCGTGGACGAGACTTGCTGGAGTGACCTTGAATTTTGCAAAAACACCAAGGTTTGTTTGCACCTACCATTTAATACGAAGGAACTATTACTTTTGCTGTCGTGCATGTGCAAATTTACGATCATGTTGTTAGATTTCAGTTATTACCTTCTGTTATATTTTGGTAGTATATATTAGCTGTTTTCGTTAATTTGTTGAAGATGGAACTCTAGTTTTGTATTTGCTTTGAATTTCATTTCTTTCTCATCTTCTTTCTTCTGTGGTTAACTGGTTATAATTGATAGAATGTCCGCACTGACAGTTCTTGTAATGCTACTAGCATGCCATCCAACTAAAAATATGGGGATTCGCGTATTTCAGTATCTGAAGTAGCGAAACCCTGGGTAGATTTAGCACTTTTTTTTTTTTTTTAATTTACCAACCTCTGGGGCTTCCTCCCGACTTGCCGTCTTCTGACTCTTCCCCGGCTGTGACTACAAAATCAAGGAATTGGAGCTCGTTAGCTTCCCTTTCTGATGGTTACGAGTGTGAAATCATTGGCTGTACTTGGCCTAAGGCATTCTTCCACTACAGCAGATCCCCAATCTCAAGTACATCTAAGCCGTTCTATCCGTCTTTCCGTTCAACTAATTCATCTTTTTTCAGTCCCCCGTAGGGCATTGAGAGGCTATGAAAAAAAAATTCAACATAGAGAGAAATCTGTTTAAAGCTATGCTCTGCTCTGGTTTTCTGATTTTGCAATTAAGCAAATGTTTTGTATGGTTTTCCCAGAATTGGTACTGCTATGGCAAAGCAGTGGCAGAGCAAGCAGCATGGGACACTGCCAAGGAGCTTGGGGTCGACCTGGTTGTAATCAACCCAGTCCTCACACTTGGTCCCATGCTTCAACAGACCGTGAATGCCAGTGTCCTTCACATACTCAAGTACCTAACAGGGTCCGCAAAAACCTACGCTAACTCCATCCAGGCCTACGTGCACGTCAAGGATGTGGCCTTAGCCCACCTACTCTTGTTCCAGACACCAGAGGCTTCCGGAAGGTACTTATGTGCCGAGAGTGTGCTCCACCGTGGTGACGTGGTGGAGATTCTCGCCAACTTATTCCCAGACTATCCTATCCCTACCAAGTAAGTTCAATCCTTTTTGTTTCGATAGATTTAATTGCAAAATAGCCCGTCAAAGATTATTATATCTGAGTACCAAAATAGTTGTATAGAGATTCTCTATGTGTTTGTTGCATAGGACTAAGGACTTAATGACTAATCAATAATAACAAGTGAACTAACTGAATATTGGTCAATCCAAAACATAACAAAACAAACCTAAGATTATAACCTGTGTTTGGTAAGAATTTGTTTTCAGATTTAAAATTGTTGACTCGTTTTTATTGGCACTCATTTTCAAATTGCTAGTCTAAATTGGACCCTCTAAAGTCCTTACCTACCCCATGGACATTGTCATACATGGGCCTACATCACCAACCACCTTTCTAAATTGTGAGCAAAACCTTTAGAATTTTTCTGATGTAAAGATAAATTTGGTTTGGCATGTGCAGGTGCTCAGATGAGAAGAACCCAAGAAAAAAACCATACAAATTTTCGAACCAAAGGCTCGTTGACTTGGGCATGGAGTTCACGCCGGTTAAGCAGTGTTTATATGAGACAGTCAAAAGCCTTCAGGAAAAAGGCCACCTTCCTATCCCAAATCAGAACGATGAGCCCATTTGTAATCAGTCTTAGTGCCTTACATAATATTTTGATCTGGTTACCATGTTATCTGCAGTCTATAGTGTAGAAAAGTTGGCACAATATCATGTATCATCACCCCTTTGCACAAGAATAATCGTTAATGGAATTAATATATGTTCTTCAAAGGTGCTAATGCCGTTAATATGTGAAGCCAATTGAATACATGGCTCTACTGCGTAAGGCACTTTGATTGACTAGTAAAATGAACGTGCGATGCACGTGCGATCATGTGTTGGGTGAATTCTTTTTTGCCGATTATGTTTGTAAAATAAATTAATTAATTTATTAAATATATCCTTACAAAAACGAAATAAAATGTAGTACAGATGAGCTCCTAATATATATTTTTTTTTTTTAAGAATTAACATAACGATGTCCTTATATAAAAAGCATGATCATGAAAATCGAATCGGTCATGGAATCGGTGAAACAATGGTTCAAACATATAGTCAACAATATAGTTAATTATATGGTGATGCAACATGAATATTTATTTCATCTCTATATAAATAAGTAATATGATTCAACATCTCTATACAAGTTTTAAAGTTAAAGTTGAGTACAATGTAGCTTTACATAGCTTTACATAGCTACTGGTTACAATCATAGTACTTATTTATTTCTCCTTTTAATTTACGTAGTTAATGTTGATAATAGTTGTAAGTTTACATTCATTTTGTAATTTTTCTTATTAGTATGAATATTTCAAATCTATATAAGCAAAATATATCATAATGGATTTATAATTTATTTTATAAGATACTTTTAGGTTATTTATTATTTAAAATAGTATTGATATATATACTATTTTCTATCGATGTAAATAATTATATTATTTTTGCTTTATTTACAATACATTAGTCAATAAAACATCATTAGAAAGAAATGATGTGATATATCACACATAAAATTGAGTATAAAATTTTAAGTTAATTGTATATATTTAAATCAAAATCATTTAAGAATATTAAGATAATATCAATAAATAAAATACTTAATATAGAAAATTTATAATTTTCATTGTTTATTTAGCACCAATCTTGGCTCAAATAAAGTAATAATAATTAAAATATCATTGTATCGCCCCAGTCGAATATTAGAAGGCATCTCGATTAGTCATTTTATTATGCATTTTATTGCATTTATATTTCTATGCTCGGCAAGTTTTTTAGAATTAATTAGACATTAGTGTCTAATGAGTAATGCTCCCCTACCCACGGTGGGCACATGTTAATATGTCCACCGCTTATGTGGCATGCATACATTGGTGATGTTAATATGTTCAAAAAAATACATCACCAATGTGTGTGTGCCACATAAGCGGTTGACATATTAACATGTGCCCACAGTGGGTAGGTGATCATTATTGAGTGTCTAATTACTCCATTAAGAAAAATAATTTATTTGGAAGGTAGTGTCTATTTAAATTATTTGAATTATCAAATATTTGTTAGTTATTTGATTTTACTCTAGGTATTTATTTAGTAGCCATCGAAGCCATTTTAAGTCCGTTTAGGCCTCCTCCATTTTATCGATTCCTTAGGTTTGATTGTTTATGAAATAATTTGTTCAAAATGAGTTATTTTGGTTAACCATAATTAATTTTGAAAATATGGTATAAATAATTGTTAGTGGAATTTGAAGAATATATTGAAATAATATTTAAAATAAAATATTAAAATTGATTTGATGTAAAAGTATGAGATAAATGATTGGAAATGATAGGTAGTTAAAATTATGTGAGTGGATGAATAGTGAATTAAAGTTGATGTGATTTATAAGAATGATTAGTTTGTATTATTTAATTATATGAATAATATTAAAGATAGTGGAGTTGAGTTAAAAGTGTTAGATTTTGAGTTGAGATAAAAATGAGTAAATTAACTCATAAACAAGCAAGCCCTTGGCATTTATCGAGATCAAATAATTAGCATTTCTTTCCAGCCTTCTAAATCGGCCCTTTGTATTTGTTCGGCCCAAATTGCGAGAAAACTTGGCCCAAACTCTGTAACATTCGCCCCAATATATTTTTCTTCTTTCTCTTGAGCCGACTGCGGACATTGCAGATTGAAAGCCCCTTTCTTCTTCGCTCAATTTCTCGCTGCAAATCCGAAGATTTCAGAGCTTTCGTCGTCCCTTAAAATCGATCACTCCCAGACTTCAAATCGTGTATCGCCATATCTCAGCCTTCATCATTCATCGCCTCCATAATCCCTCAGCCTGTCGCGCCTATCACCTCGGTTCGGCAACCTGCAGACGCCGTACGACCGCCGTGAGGGATCCAGTGAGCAGCGACGTTTTCAGCGCAAACGAGGAAATTTAGGCGACCTTCAGGCGGCTCGACCCGTCCCCTCATCTTCCTCCGTCGGCGAGTAAGTAGCAGCCGTTGCCGTGAGTTTTCGAACAGTAGCGGCCGCGTGACTTCTTCCGACGAGCAGCAGGTCCAGTCGATCGTCCTCAGCAGAATCTAGAAGTGCCAGCATGGCGGGGAGTATCGGAGTAAAAATTAATTGGTAAAAATACTATTTTCACTTTGAACTAATACCACCTGGCGATTCAAAATCATTGTAGCCTTTACCCCAAAGCATATCATCACTCGTAAGCCCTGATTATACAGCCGCGGGGAGCATCGGAACGCTGCCGCTTCCATGTACTGTCTCTGCCGGTTCGCCTCTACGCCGCTGCGCCTCCTCCACTCGCTCTCCGCGTGTCGATCTTTGTTCTCAGATCCGGATTTCTCGTCCCAAGTCTCGTCCCTCATTTCCACACAAAAATGGTCACAGCTCAAACCCTTAGTAGAATCATCCAGCCCAACCGATTTCCTCCATCAGCTCCTCAATCTCGAGAGCTTCAGCTCGGACAATGCACTATCCTTCTTCAAATGGTCCCAGCAAGCTTTCGGCCTAACCCACTCTATCGAACACCACTCCAAGCTCTTTATTCTGCTCGCCAATGACAAAAAGTACCCCAAAATCAGATCATTCCTGCATTCGCTTTTGAAGCAGAGGAAGGATATATCTGTTTCCGCTTTCTGCCACGCGCTCTCCACTGTCAGCGACAATTCATGTGCTAACAACATCGTTCTAGACATGTTCGTGAATTCCTGCTTGAAAAACGGGAAGCTTGAGCTGGCGCTCGAGTTTTTCAGGCGGGCTGGGGAATATGGGTTCAAGCTGTCTGTGCTTTCGTGTAATCAGATGTTGGCTGCATTTGTGAAGGATGGCAAAGCAGGGATTGTGGATTTCATATACAAAGAGGTGGTTAGGAGGAGGATCCGTCCAAATCTGGTCACTTTCAATACCGTGGTCAACGGGTTCTGCAAGGCAGGGAAGCTTAACCGGGCGGGTGATATATTGGAGGACATCAAGATAAATGGGCGGGTGCCGAATGTGGTCACCTATAATGTGTTGATCGATGGGCACTGCAAGAGGGGTGGGCCTGGGAGAATGCACAAAGCTAATGCATTGTTTAAAGAAATGGTGACGAAAGGTGTGTCCCCAGATGCTATCACGTATAACACTCTCATTCATGGGTTTTGCATGGACGATAATGTGGTTGCAGGTGTTAGATTGCTTCAAGAGATGAAAGACCAGGGCTTGAGGCCTAATTTGGTCACTTATAATTCGTTGATCCACGGATACTGTAGGGATGCAAAATTTGACGAGGCCTTGGCTCTGAGAGGTGAAATGTTGGAATCAGGCTTGGAACCGAATATTGTCACTTATAATGAGTTCATCCATGGGTACACAAAGAAAGGAATGCTGAGGGAGGCCAGGGAGTTGTTTGATGATACCGTGAGTGGAGGGGCTGTTTCTGCTAATATTTTGACGTATAATACCATGATACATGGGTACTGCACAGCGGGCCAAATGGAGCAAGCTGTGGCTCTATTTGGTTCAATGCTGGATAAAAAGGTCTCTCCCAATGTCTCGACCTACAATGGCTTGATCGGTGGGTATTATAAGTCTGGGAACCCGGACGAAGCCCTGAAGCTTGTGGCGGAGATGGAGGAGAAGGGCTTGAAAGCCGATGTCATGACCTACACAATAAGGATAAGCGCTGTATGCCAGAGGCTCGAGATGAGAAAGGCAGTTAGGTTGCTTGATGAGATGTGGAGAAGAGGAGTGAACCCAAGTCACGTGACGTACAATGCCATTATAGCTGGTTATATGAAGCAGGGGCAGAGCATGGGAGCTTTGGCTGTGAAGAGAAGGATGGAGAAAGAGGGCAAGCGGCCGAATGTGGTGACATATAATGTATTGATCAGGGGATTTTGTGAGGGTGACAAAATGGAAGAGGCGAATAGGTTCCTGAACGAGATGTTGGAGAAAGGTTTAGTGCCTAATAAGATCACTTATGAGATAATTAAGGCGGGAATGGTGGAGAAGGGATTCATGCCAGACATAGATGGGCATCTTCATAATCATTCAGCTAAATCTTAGGTGGTGAGTTCTGCCTGGGGGGCCCTGTACATGCTTTATTTTCTTGGGTCCCAATTAGAATGTTTGTTGGTCGCTTATTTCTCCAATAATCTCTTTTGTTCCAGGTTGAGGTCACAGATTCAGCTCTTCTGGCTTTGATTGAGAATTATTGCAGAGAGGCCGGGGTTTGGAATCTTCAAAAGCAATTTGAAAAGATATATCTGAAGGTCCCAATTAGAATGTTATTTTACTTACTATTGGTTTTCTATGTAGATAAATAGAGTTGAATACATGTACTCAAGAGGGTTTCTGCACGGTGATATAAAACCTGATAACTTCTTAATGGGTTTGGGACGAAATCACGTACTTTATGTTGCATTCCTAACTCTGCCTTTTTCTTTTTCTGTATTATATGCATGTTTTATGGTTATGTGTTGTTTCTGATCAATCGGTTGCAGTAAGACGATGCAAATCGCACAATTGGTTCTATTGTTGTTGAGACCTTGAGGAGCACGACGAATCCAAGGGCGGAGACGAACACCCTTCGTGATTTAGCTGCCACTGCTTCCGGCGCTACATGAGCTACTGGGTGAGAAATTATGAAGCAATTCAAACTGATTCATAGGATTAAA